TAGGTCAGTGCTGTTCTTTGACAAGATGAACTTGGTAAACTTTTCATGTTCAGCCGCACTCAGCTTCCGGTGGATCAGGCAAACTCTCTTCTCTTCTGGTACATTTTCGGAAGCAACACGAAACAAGTCTTCTTACTTTTGAAACCAGAGAGCGAATGTCACGCCAGCATCCGCATCATAATGGAATTCACTGATCTACTTTGGCAGGGTTTCTGGAAAGAGGACACTTTCACTTGCGCCTAACCCAGGGCTGGACTATATTAACAGCTTTTGCGTCAACATCTCATCGAGCTTGGCCTGCTGCCGCAAAAGTGCCTGCAAGTGTTCGAAGCTGGCTGCCATTTTCGGGTTCGATTGAAACTCGCGTCACCAGTGTGGTACTCTTCTGCCCTGTGAGACTGCGACTGTCTGACTGCTCAGTCAACCGAAAGAATACGAAAGGCCAGAAATCAGTAGACAGAGAGAGTATATCTACTGGATAAATCCACTCTGTTTATTTGTAAATGAAACATGCTAATTTTGGGAGTCAAGATCACTCATTCTTCTGCGTCTGGTTTTCAGCCAGTGTGAGTGAATTCGACTCCACGGGTTTACCACATAAGCAACGCAGAGGTGCAAGACCGAGTGCTTGGAGCGAGTAGTGCCAGTCTTCAGAACGTTATTCTCCGACATCGCATGTGTTGACTGGGGCACGTTTTGTGAATGTCAGCCCATCGCCTTCCACGTCGAGCGTTATTTGCACCGTCAGGGAGCGATTGGAAAAAGTGCCGCGGTGGACAGCCAATGACGTGGAGAAGGGGCGTGAAGAAGGCAACCTCAAGTTTGGCAGCAGTCGGACCAGTCCGTCTTCCAGATTAGCGACCACGAGATGCTGAATCTCCGTGGTTGGAGACATTGGACGTCATGGGCCGCAACAGACATCAGTGGTGTCAGTGTTGTTCTGCCATTATATCCTCCCTTAATACTCACAAAACGAAAACAAAAAATTCGAAATTCCGTGTTTAAAACCAAAAAAATCGTTTCCCATTTTGAGTCGCATTTCGTGTTCCTATCTTCTCCACTTCTTTTCTTCTGCAATGGTTCTGATGTCACAATGTCTGTCAACAGACTGTGAACTATTCCGTCAATATGGCAAACCCATATATATATATATATATATATATATATGGGTTTGCCATATTGACGGAATAGTTCGACTCCTTTGACACGTGCTTGTATTTGCTGGCCGATCCATTCGCACTCGGTTCCCAAATTCGGCGGATAGGTCAAAGGTGATGATGACCTTTGCATGTGGCAGACAGCCTAGTGCTCCGCTTTCGTCTCGATTACTAACCAGCGTTCGTAAGTGCGCTGATACCGCTTCCAATCGATTTACTACCTCTTGCCAATAAAGTGGTTGATACTGTATGTGCGCTGCATCATCGTTGCAGTTAATCTGTACGTATGCCTACGTGAATTTCTTCATTTCATGGGCTTGTTATTGATTGATATCCCCAGTGTGGCTGCGCTTGATGTGAATGTTTACAAGATGCCTATTCGTCTATTAACCACCACATATTCTATACCGGCTCTACTTAGCCGTTGCTGGGGGGAACGTGGTGTTCCGTCCTGGTGACAATACTATGCTCCAAGAGTGGTTTCCATGCATGCAGTGGGGAACGGGCTACGGCCCAGCCACCACCTTGTGTACGTCTGGTGAGCATGAATACTTCTGCTCTGCTTGTTGAAGGAGTGTGGGCCGGCTCCGTTGATGAAACGTGACTCCCATTCACTTGTCTCCCTGTCTTGTTCCTTTTGGTTTGCACTGGGTATGTGGTGTGCGGATGGAGCTGTTGGTGGTGCAGCTGAAACCCCCTATGGTCCCTCTGTAGGCGCAGGCGTCCTGTGGCTTTCCTATGTAGGCCGCAGCGACAGGCAACTTCTTAATCGGATGCCGCCTACCATACTGTGGATGCAACCAAGTCCACGGCGGAATCCATCCTGGCTTTCATTGATTTGGCTCTCAAGCTGACCAGTGTGTTATCGAAGAACGATACATTTGGAGGCAATAGATAGAAAACTAATGCTTCGATGTTTTTCGCACAGGGTACACAGGCCATTCTTGTAAATGGGCGCGGCATTTGACCGTCTCCAGTCTGAAGGTGCCTCTTCAGCGTCCAAAATCGTGTTGAATAGAGCAGCAAGTCCAGCCAGCAAAGAGTAAGCTCCATCTATGTTGATAGATGGTCCAGAAACCTTGTTTCTTAACAAGAAAGCGAGCTCATTCCAGATCTCTTTCACTGCACTTGTGACGACCAGAACGATGTCGATAAGCTGCGCTTAGAAACGACCTCAATTTGTTCAGTACACAGATTGGATCTAAAACGTGCATTGCTGTTTACATACTGTTTATTACAACGAAGAACGAACCTCATTTGATTGCGGTTTTTTTAGCGACAACACATAGCACCGGATTAGCGCTCAAACATGCAACGTACACTAACCCGTCAACGTTGTGAGCCGTCTTAGGTGCGGTTGACAATTGAACACTTCGTCTTACAGCCAGTCTATTGACGCATAGGCAGGCACTCACAAGGATGATTGGGAAAGGAGTGGAATAATGCGGATGCTACTTGTGCAGTGAATGATCATCTGTTTCAATGAGTGCACTCGATGCGTGTCTGTGTATATAGACGGCCGATTAAGGACACTCCGTGGACTCGGAATCTAGAACGTTGGCATGGTGGAAGCGTTGAATACAACACGCCTAGAACATGCTGAGCACGGGACGAAAGCGCACAGGCACACACAAAACACGGGTGCCAAGTGCTTAGCTCGCCGTAAATTGCAGAGAGTTATTCTGGATCAGGTGAATTTCACACCGGTCCGCTACAATACTGATAGTCGGCTGGTGACCGAAAGGATTGTACACCTGGCTCGCAGTCCTTTGGTCACCGGTTCGAATCCTCGTAGGGGTGGGCCTCCTCGCGGTATACTCAGCCCACGCGCGGCCGGTGGTGGTCGCGTGGCAGCGGAGCATCGGTGCAGTGTGCCGGTGTGCTGCTGATGGTTTTTTTGGCTACAATACCAATGCCTGCATGGTACCCCTTCGTTTCTGGTGGGAGCGCTCAGTGATTAAAACTTGAGTTCGTTATGTTGTGTTCGGAAACAGGCACTCCCATGTTGAACTCGAAGCACCTTTGGTGGCCCAGTCATGTGTCTCGCATGCCTACCAGCCGACTCCCTTGGTCTGTAACTATTTCAGCACCTCGTCTAGTTAGCTGAAATCCTGAGGTGGTCATTCGACCGGTGACCGAATGGATTACACGGCTGGTTTGCAATCCTTAGGTCACCGGTTCGAATCCGCGTAGGGGCGGGCGTCTTTGCGGTATACTCAGCCCACGTGCGGCCGGTGGTGGTCGCAAAGCGTTGGTACAGTGTGCCGGCGTACTGCTGATGACATTTTTCCGACGTAGTCACTCAATGATGTGATGGAAAGCCACCGAATTGCTAGGTACAGTTTGTTCTGACCACCTTCCTCGATGGGTGCCTCGGCATCGGCAGCCTCAATAACTAACTGGATACCTTAATGAATATGGCGTGTGCATGCAATCAGTGCTGCCCTTGTGCTCATTCTTTTATTTCTGAATTGACTATTCCACCTGAAGATTTAGGTTCTTCGCACCTCCTCGAAGCATTGTTATTATTGGGCTTCTCATCCTGTGGACGCGAATCAAAGGCTGCAGAATCCGTCGCACTTCAGTAGACGGGTCGTACTTGCTTATCTGAGCTGACACCTGAGTTTATTAAACGTGCTGGTTTTCGACAACCATTTGGTATTCTTTTAGACTTCGTGGGCACGCGTGTCGCATGTTCTAACGCTACTGAAAGTAGCGGTGGCACATTATTCTGATAATCGCTTGGAGTGCAGTGTTTTCTGGCGAGCAGCACCCACTATTCAGCCGCCTGGTATATAGTTTAAACGATAGCAAATCAGCATTGTTTGTTATAAACAGGCGCCTGACCATTCCAATGGTTTGTCGCATTTCAGTCACTGTATACTCTAATTGTCCTTTGTAACTCAACGAGCCCGAGTAGCAGAGGCTTAAGTTACGGACCAAATCACCTAAAGAAATTGGAATATCATGCCACAGTACCCACAGCACAGGATGTTGCACCTAGTTATTGAAAGTTCATGGAAGATCCGACACACCACTCTTCCAATGAGCCTCGGTCGCTTTGAATTTCAGAAATAAGAGAAAGTGTTGAAACTCGGTGACGTACAAAATTTTCGTATCCTCCACGGACAGATAAGGTTTTCCGTTTCTTATTGCAAGCAAAATGTAATTTTCATAAATCAAGATAAGGAGAGAACCGAGTACACTACGCTGTAGTTCGCCGCTAGTAATGTGTATTGTCTCTGACAAATACCCAACGATCTTGACTGCTTCCGACTCGTGAGGTTCGCCTGTGATGCCATCATTGGGAATTTAGTGTATCAGCGTTCTATGTGAAACTGTCCAAGGCCTTTTGTAGGTCTAACAAGTGAATAACCTGAGCTACCCACATTTAATTTCATATAAGTGAATTAGAATATAAGTCTTATCAATATCTATTAATTTCGTTAAATAATCAAAAAATCCAGTTAGCAAGTAGCACTTGAATGCTTTCGGAGAAATCCGTACTCTAAGGGTGACAAATGATTGTTTGCCGTTGAGAATTTAACGATTTTATTTGTGCTGTATCGGCATTATGAAGAACTACTGAAAACAAGCTTGTTCGCTAACATTTTTTCCAATATCTATTCTAGGGATATTTTATCAGTTGATTTCAATTTTAATGAGGGGCTCCATCATTCTGAAAGCTAAAGCGGTATGATTTATTGGTCGATAATTTTTGTGCCTTGTGTAGACCCAGTTTTGTAACGGCGTTTCGCCGCCTTCAGTTAGCACTGCTCATCATCGTTGTTTTTATCACGCCCTGTTTTCTCTACATATCTATTACCTTTTATTCCCTTTTAGCTAGCCCATGAAGCTGGAGACGTCGTTGAGGTTGAGGCTTCCCTGAATGCTTTGCAATCATTTGCGGATCCTGACCAAATAGAATTGTTTTATCCCATTATCAGTGAGCTTGGAGGTCCATCCGCAGAACCCTCCTGATGGCTGTGAACGCAGGCGTATCAACCATCGATTATTTGTGATATTCTCAAACTCGTGTTTTCAATAAATGATCTCTTTTGACCTTACTACATTGTTTGCGCCTTCGCTTTTTCTGTTCCATTGGGCCAAACTAGCTGCCCACATCTATTGCGTAGCTTGGTCCGATCTTGACCAGTTGCTTTTCATTAGTCCAACCGTTATCTGCTACCGCCAGTTTCGCTGGCCTTCTTAGTTTTATGCATGACCGCTAGCATTTCCAATTTTAGCCTTCCTGTTTCCTTTGCACTCCGTCTCGCCCACTCCAGTCTAACCTTTTCTGGCACTAGTATGTACCGGACTGACCTTTCAGTTACACGTGACCTACGAATTGGTGCTGTACACTGCACTAGCGGAATCGACTCACTTGCGACTGTAATAGTTGCTGTCACACTTTACTTCCGCCGGTTGGATGGAGTGTGTGATCTTCAGCAAGCTGACAAATCATGTGTGTTAACGAGTAATCATAGATCTAGTTCTGTCAGTCAGATATGATCCGCACATCAAAGTGCAGTAGATCCAAGCCGAGAAGATTACCCCATTGATGTCGCAAATGATTCGTTACTGTCTTGATCTGCTTCAATTGGGACTGCTTTTTCTCAGGCAATTCGGAGGTTGTTCTGGTGAACAAATGTTTCCTGATACAATAGCATACACACTTTCCTTGCACATGTTTTGTTATACCCAGTAAACCATCTATTAAACGCGAAAAAATATGATGAGCCCCCTTTCCTATATATATATATATATATATATATATATATATATATATATATATATATATATATATATATATAACACTTGGCAGTGCCATAACTCACGTGCGACAGCAAGTAGACCAATTAGAGGAGAAAAAGCAGTAAGGAAAAATAGCCTAACACGTTTACCATTGGGCATGATTCCGGGCCATATCCGATGACGTTTTCACTCACGTTTGCTTACTGTCCTTGGGCCCCGAAACTGGGAGTCTGGAAGGCCCCAAAGTGGCTAACTGCAATCTTAGTGTCTTTGCGCCCTGGACCCAGGTTGTATGTTGGCCGCCTCTTCATCGCTTCCAATCAACGCTGGCGAATGCAAATAAAGCGGGGCGGGGCAATCCTTGAGCAAGCTTACGTAGAATGTGTCACATTAGCGCACGAACGGAAAGTACGCAGCACAGTAGTCAGCTGAATCTATCTGACTTGAAGATCTGGTGTCGAACGTCGTCGCTGCTATTGCGATGCTCTGGAAACAACAGTCTCTGGACATCACTCGCTCGAATGGGGCAGATCTCGCACCTATGCATGAGCGTTGTTTCCTACCTTAACACTGTAGACTCGACCTTTTACTGATAGGTTGAGTTCACGCCAGCGCCAGAGATGTCAGATTTTGGAAAAGGCTATTCCGGCTTTGGTGATTCGCAAATTGATCTCATCTGTTAACGCAATCCCCAAGGTAAACAAACTTGCCAACTTCGAAAGAAGAGGGAGTTGGGATATGAGTAGCTTCTAACTATTCCTAGAGGAAAGCGTTGCACTTGGAAGGTCATCTCAACTGTGTATCAGACATCTCCAACCTACCCAGCATCTCTTGGACAGTCTGCGAGGTATCACATATTGCAGCGATGTCGTCAGCTTACTCAAAGTCACGGAGCCGATCACCCGGGAGTAACTCAACGCCACCTGGCTCACAATTTTCTAGAGCATTCTTCAAGATGTCATTCATAGCGAAGTTGAACAAACGTGATGCGTGACAACCCTTTCTCACTCCACTGGTGATACTAAAAGGGGGCGAAAGTCTGCCGCACTCAGCTCAAAACTCGAGCACTCCCTTTCACAGCAGGCACTTGTGTCCAGGAACCAAACAATAGTAAGCTGGTTAAAAGCTCGATAGTGATCGAGCGTCTGGCGGCTCGTAAAGATGTGGTCAATACATCTCCGACTTGGGTGAAAACTGGCCTTTTTTCATCTATGTAGTCAGTTTAGTAATGAGTGGTGGGCATCCATTAATGAAAAGAGCTTGAGGCAATTTGTCTGGACCGTGTCATTTGTGATGCTTTAGAATACGAAGCCCTTAGGCGATCTTGGTCTCAGTTGGCGGAGAGGTGTTTACCCACTGGAAAACATCGTGGATACATAATGGAAACTCGAGGGTAATGGTGGCCAATTGAACTATTCTTCCAATTGCTTTGCCCAACGTACAATCCAGCGTTGGCGCTTTCGAATTGGTCCACCGGTTGTTTTACATACTACTTCGCTTACAGCTGCTTTCTTACCACCACTAGACTAGATAAGAGAGTCTGCGCAAGTTCCCTAAGGATGCAGCTTGTGCGTTCTCGATGACACCCTGCGTCCACCAAACTTCGCGGTCTATCCTGATCTTTGTGAGTTCGGCGTTGGTAGCTCTGCGCGATGAATTATACACAACCCCAGCAGGAATTATCCGAGGCGCTTCCATAAGTTAAGCAGATAGAACAGAAATCTATCGGTTGTTGGTGCACTCAGGGAAACCACAGGCTTGTACACGGCACTCCGGATCTGCGTCTAATGCGCCTCAACCTCTGACTGCAGTGCCCTACAGATTAGTGGTTAACAAATTCTGAAAGGCACTCAGAACACTTGGACTGGCAAATTTGGCTACGTCGAGCCGTTTCCCACGACGCTTTTTTTCAACCCCTGACCATTATACACTTGGCCGTGCCACAACACATAATTAACAGCAACAACAAAAGGGGGAAACGGCTAGACAGTGGAAAGCTTTACAAGATTAATATATTGTGCCAGTACCACCGAAGCGGACATCAACTTTAGCGCGCATATGCGCGTGGTCAGAATTGAGATTAATGCTCCAAATTCACTTGCAGTTCGCTATCCAGCCTCCTTAACGGTAACTGATGGCGGTGGTCAACCTGCGTCCACGACCGTCCAGGTGGAAGGATTCGCTGGGTGACGGTCTGGTGCCAGCAGCGTCGGAAGTTTGTACTCGTGAGTAATATGCTGTGATCAACACAGTTGTAGAAGGCGTTAGCCATCCTGTGAGTGCCATGGCCATGCAGTCTGCCGGTCTCGCATTCATCAGCATTGAGTTTACCGACCTGCGCGTTTAAGCCCCCGGCCAGCACCACGATATCCTTGCAACGCTTCTTATGGAGGTCGCAGATTTAGCGGCAAGATTCGTCCAGACTGCAATCCGTAGAGCATACTCCGCTGTGACAAACAAACAGCGCTTGGTACCCTCTTGGCTGGACAGACATAAAGAGCTTTCTAACGGAGTTGGTTATCATTTGGGATTCAATCGAGTATCACTGCATCTGCACACTACTTAACGCAATTTCCAAACCGGCTTGGCCCGCGGCTTTAGCATTTGCGTCTTCGGCTAAGCGTAGTGTGAATGTATCGTGGAAGCACGCAGAATGTGATGTCAGTCGTAGGGCAATGCTGCAGTCCTGTAAGCGGGTTTCACTGTGGCAACATATATCAGTAGTGAGGTTTTCTAGAGTGCGAGTGAGAGCTGTCTGCTACTCTATCTGCGTGCGCGTCCGGACATTGAAAGGGGCCAATTGGGAACGAGATGCTAGAAAAGTCCTGTCTTCACGATTACGTGGCACATGGAAGGTCTTGAACTGCTCATCGGCTAGAACTGTCCGTCAAGGCGGCTCGATGTCGGAGACCCGGCATCCGAAAGGAAATACCTTGAATCGGTGAACACAAGAAACGTGTAACAGATGGTGCGGCAGAGCATGGTATAGCGGAGCCAGCCGCCATCATTTCGCCTTTTACTTTACTGTCATGATAGCGAGAAAGATGTTGAACATCTATGTAGCTATATCTCAATGTAGGACATGTCCCACTGACACAGTGTTACCTGTAGTAGTGAGCTAGCCCAGGTGAAAAAAGTAAAATATTTACGAGCATAGAAAAAATCTCCATGTACTTACGATATATTCTTGGATGAACCACATGGAGTCCTTCGCCTGTGTAAAACGAAACCAGGGTTTCATAGGTTCATATGTTGCATTGGTATAGAGCTTCCCGGTTGTCCAGACCGAGGAAGAGAGTTGAGTTATGGACCCCACTCGGAGCCTTGAGCCATAAAGATCTGATCCGTATGGCAGCGGAGCAATTATCATAATTCGCAAACTGTCGGGAACCGTTTACACGACTATCGAGCAGTAACAGACTACTCGGGGCACCCAAATATAGCAACGCAGATGTCAACAAATGTTTCTGGAGCGTCTTAACCAGGCGCAGAATACGAAGACCGTTGACAGCCAGGTGGCTCATACGCCTCCTTAGTGTTCGGTAGCAGTCCATGCAGAAACGGGTGACAACAAAGGTGTGAATCTGCCCTCCGTTAGAAACTCCAGGTTACATAAGCGAGTGGTCAGTGACCCTATAGCCGGTCACCTTGGCTTTAGCACAACGTTGTACGAGCTATTGTGATATTTAATGAAGAACCCAGTGACCACCCCAGAAATCCCCACGCTTTGTGGCGCTGTTTCTGATCGTCCGCGACTGCTTATTGCTTTCCCCTACAAAGCAGTTGAGATTTATTCACAGTTACCTCCACTAACAAGGTATTCCAAGGTCCGCAATCTGGGGACGCGCCCGATGGCCTACGGCTCCACAGAGGAATCATATAAGATTACTTGTTAATTTCTGAAGGAGAACGGGTATTCTCCGTCCTTTTTAAACTCTTGCATTGTTGCTGACGTGCTCGACGTCACATCTATCGGAGTATAGCTTTCACAGCGCTAGGTTTGATACTTCATATGATACGCGTAGGGGCTAGCTGGAGAGAGTGCGACGCCACAACACATGGAATGGTGAAGAACATTTTACGGTTGGACCATGTCCTACACGTCAAATGATAATTCTTCATTCGGATAGTTTTGAGCAAGGAATGTTCTGATATTGCTCCTACTCCATTTATCACGGTGTACATGATTCCTCTTGTGGCGTGTGGGAGTGTTGCAATACATGACAATAGTTTAGTGTCTTTGTTCGATGAAGTGCAAAACTGTTGTGTGCATATTTCGCACATCCCCATGCTGACGCCACAGGTGATACG